CGTTTTTATGAGTTTTTATGACTTACTATACTATGACTTTTTATACCTTACTATCCTATGACGTTTTTATGCCTTACTATATTATGTCGTTTTTATGAATTTTTATGCCTTACTATACTATGACTTTTTATGACTTTTTATGCCTTACCATACTATGACGTTTTTATGACTTTTTATGCCTTACCATACTATGCCTTTTTTTGCCTTACTATCCTATGACGTTTTTATGCCTTACTATACTATGTCGTGTTTATGAATTTTTATGCCTTACTATACTATGACTTTTTATGACTTTTTATGCCTTACTATACTATGACGTTTTTATGACTTTTTATGCCTTACTATACTATGTCGTTTTTATGAGTTTTTATGACTTACTATATTATTACTTTTGTATGCCTTGGTATACCATGAGGTTTTTTGAGATCTTATTTTCTCACTGTCGTATGACTTTTTATTCCTTATTATGCCTTATTATACTATGACATTTTTATCACTTTTTATGCCTTACTATAATATTACGTTTTTAAGACTTCTAAAGCTGTTCTACACTATGGTGTTTTTATCTCTTACTATACTGTTGTTTTTATGACTTTTTATGCTTTACTATACTATGACATTTCATGATATCTTACGCCTCACTATAGTATGACATTTTTATAGTTTTCCATTTTTATTATACTATGACATTTTTATGACTATTTATGCCTCTTTATACTATGACATTTTTATGAGTTTTTATGGCTGACTACACTATGACCTTTTTTTGACATTTTTATGCCTGACTCTACTATGACACTTTCCAACAATTGCAATTCCTTCTTTTCACATTTGAGGGAGGGCTGTCTTTACCATGTATCTGTTGTCATTGATGACAATCTATTAGCATGCAATAATCGAATAGAATGAATAGTTATCAAATTAGGAGTGTACAATCAACATAATTCAGTTACTGTTTATGTCAGGACACTACAGGCAAGCACACTGCTATTTCATTTAATGGTCAACTTTGAGATTTCGGTCTATTTCGCTTGCATAACATGTCTTCTTTCCAACTAATGGAAAGCTAATATCCAAAATACACATTTAGGTGTTTGTTTTACTACCCTCTATTTATTTGCTCAGATTTGGTCTAAATTCACCAAACAAGCTAATCTGCATATTTAAACATAACATTTCAGGGGGAAATACTGTCTTAATGTAAGTAATTAACTGAGGAAGTTCTGTGGTGATATCTTTTAGTTATTTTTTTTATCCTATTCATCTGCAGTGCCTTGGCAAATGTAGGCAAAATAGCTCATTTTAATTAGTTAACGTTTCATTTTCATATATGATTTTACTTCAAATTGACATGTATTTCATATATGGAGATTCAACACATGTACATATATTACATTTGCGTATGGGCATTTCTGATTGTAAATTCAGATCTCAAATGTTAATAAACCATTTGGTTGATGACATTAAAATGACAATTTCTTTATTTTGGAGGGGTGGCAGGGTGGTTGCGTCCCTATCAATGTTGAGAACAACTGTACACCCTTGGCCAAATCAAATTCTGCTTCACAAATGCTTTTCATTTATTTGTAAATTAATTGAATGTATTCACAGATACATTCTATTGTGGAATTTGCTTGTGTATTTGCACATCTGTTTTATATTTCAGGATATTTTTGTGAATTTGTACATTTATTTTTTGTATTTGTGGAAGGTGTTTTATATTTACAGATTACACATTTACTCACGGATTGTCGATCTGTTCGCACAAATAATATCGAAACAAATCTATCTCCATACCCTTCTGTATGACAATCAGTTTTTCACTCTGCCCACTTTTTGACATGGCTGAACAATACGTTTTAAGAAACTTCTTCTTTTCAACTATAACCTGACCCTAACAGTATCCCACTGGATGTAATCAATGTAGGTTTGAAATTCTTTTAAAATGAGGGACGCAATGCATTCAACATGTCTGTTGGACATCAAGGACACACACCTTTAATTTGCTGAAATTACCAAAAATACATTTCTGTCTGGTTATTTTACATAAACAATTAGTTTTTCAAGAAGATGTATTACATCACACTATATACTGACACTGGTATAAAATTTTTAAAACATACCTATAGTACCCCACCCCATTGCAAATATTTATAAAGGTTCTTATGGAAATGTCAAAATACAAAAACAAACACTCTTATACTAAAAACTAGCAACAGTCCAATAAACATAACAACAAAAAACAGTATGAGGAAACTTAGGGGGAAGCTGATAAAATGTGTTGAACAAACTTCAGAGTACTAATTGTTGAGTCTTGGTGTCACAGGCAGCTGAGCTGGTTAAGCTGGTCTAGTTCATGATCCTGGAGAGAAGGTCTAATATTTCATTTCTGAGACTAGGTCCTGGAGCAGAGAGGCCCACTCGGGCTTTCATAATGGTTTTCAGGGCAGGATTTCTTCACAGTGCAGTTTCTATACTCAGAAAACTCAATTTCCTCCAGATGGTGAGAGGCCAGTTTTTGGCTGAGGGGCTGCAGCCCAGTCATCACCTCGTAGATGGGAGCCTGAGGGTGTAACTTCACACTGTGGTGTGCTTTGCCCTGACAGTCATCGAGACAGAAGGAAAACAAATCAGTGAACAAACAAAATGAACACACGCTCTTGATTTCCTGTGTTAAAATCAGTGTTTGTCATTTTCCTGAATAGGAAATTCTAACCAAGTCTAATTCTCGCTATGACATGTTTTACAGTTACTTGTAAAACTTGGTGCAGTTCGGTACAACTATAAACGTATTAAAACTTAAAGAAGTAGAATAGGGGTCTCACTTTAAGAAAATAACATGCTGACAACTGCCTGCAACAAATTATGAAACTAGTGTGGTTTTTGTGGTGAGCTGCAGAGGAAGTGTCTGGCACGCTCTCAAAAATCAGGTGCTAATACATCAGTTATATTTTCCCCTTATTCCTATGTAGTGTTTGAGCAACACATTAGAAGCTATGAGTCCACTCACTTGATAAATCACCACAAATCCAATGAGGATGAGGAGGAGGAGAATGGCTACAGCTGCAGACAGAGCATACAGCAGAGTGGAGTAGTTGGAGCAGCCACAATCACCTCCTGTGGAGAAGCAGAGAGGGAGAGAAAAGAAAAATTAGAGAAATAAGAGGGTCAACTTCACTTCTGCAGCAGGACACAAACACTCAGCATTAGGCTGCTCCAATATTCATACATTTAATTTGTCAATATGGGGTTCATAAAAGCCTGTAGGATAGAAACAATACTTGAAAATAAAGGCAGTACATAACTGTAAGTGGTCGGCTCGAGTACAACATGTTGGAATTGCATAAACCACTGAGCCAAACTTCCTTCCTAGTTCTGTGCTGCAGTTTAAATATACTGTTTTTATTTTCAGGGGAAATCAGCCATTGTGGTGCGGCTAAGGGTGTGTGTATTATCTGAAAAAACAGCTTAGCACCCAAAACCCCACATGAATAGTGACATAAATGGTGCTTAGCATCAAGTACTAGGAGGTGAAAGCAGTTTGGTTTGCTGGGTGAAAGTGGGAGATTAACTTAACGGCAAATGACATTTTACATCTCAAACACCAATTTTGATAAAGTATTTTAAATAATCTATTAATCGACCCCCTTAATTATGAATGTCAATGTATTATAGTCAAAAACGGTGATAGTCTATATTTTTCTTATTGTCAACAAATCCAAAAACTCACGAAAAACATGAAACCAACAGGCTAAACAGTTTCCTAAAACAGCTGGTTGCTCAAACAGGAGTAAATTGTGCATTTGTTGGGAACTATTTTGAGCTGTGATTAATACAGATCTGTATGTGGGATGCACTCAAAAAGAAAAAAGAAAAAAAAAACTCTGTCACCAAGCAACAGTGCAGCTCACTGATGTGTTATGTAATGTAATACTTTTTATACAATAGAGCTCTATGGAAAAATATAGAATATCACCAGACTTATCCTTTAAGACACATAATTACGAACAATTTTCTGCTTCTGTGAATTAATGGTTTGTGGTATTGCTCAATTTTGCTTGTCATGCCAGCTATAGTGGGACAGCACTTCTCTGTTTTTCACTTTGCTTATATAATAAAACTTAATTATTAGTCTAATTGACTCATTTTAAAGCCTATAGTTATATTTTAATCTGGTTGTTAAAAAGAACATGCCTACATCACAACCCACAGTCTTTCACTTCTGCAAAAACCCCCAACCACTGTTGTCCACAGGAAAAATAAATATCACCAGATCGAACGACTGATCAACAGGTTAATTATCCATATTACTTAATACCCCAAATTTGAATGAAAACAGATAAAAACTGTCATCCATTACTGGTGTACCTTATTGTGTAGTGTTATTAGTTGTGCACACACCCAGACATACAGTACAAGCAAAAAAAAAGGAAACATTGTTATTATGTAACCTTTTTACACATGTAGCTGTTTCACAATACCTGAGTCAACTCTATCCAAACAATACATCAAGACACTAGCAATATGAATATCTGCAGAATATTTACTTGACTTTTATTAGAAGCAGTTGTGTGAGTAGAAGGTGATTATTATTTCTCTGACTGATGACACCTGCTTAAATAAAGAAGAATTAAGCATAGTTTTGCCGTCCTGTGAATATCTGGCTACACCTTGGATAAACAGTCACACTGAGGTAACAGATACACAGCATCAGTGGTGGACTAACAGGTCAGACACTGATAAGAGTGGTACAACGTCTCCACTGGAGCCAAGCCCCTCTGTCGCTTTAGACTCACCCCCTCCACGGCCAAGCCTTCCCCACTTGGGGAGAAACAGGGGAGCACGGCAGAGCCCCCGGCACATGTCTCTACCAACCCTACGTCCACCGACCCATGGGCATCTCCAGAGAGGAAAGGGGGAAAAAACTGATGTAATGCACAGGGGCATCACTAGATCCTACGTTTAAACTGTGAGATAATTTGGAGCACATATATCAGCCATTGTCAGGGTGCATTGTCAGGTAGTAATACACTGTTTTGAACACTTTTTTAGACAATAATTACAGTAAGATATAAGTTCATATTATGTAAAAATGACATGTATCATAATCTACACTTGACTGTTGTAGTCAGGCTACTGAGACTAACTGACCAGAGTGAGTCATAATGGGTGAATATAATGTTTGTCAAATGAGGAAAAGTCTAACAATTTAGATTTCATGGTAAGGGGTGTGTCGAACTTTAGGGATTTCAGCTGTTAAATTATTATTAATAATATATTTTAACAGATTATTTTTTACAGCACTCCAAAAGGTTTCACAATACTATTTTAGTACAGCATTAAAGATTTATTAATGTTGATGAATCATTTATCAACAGTATAATCAATATATCAGTAATGCTTAATTCATAAAGAGAGCTTTTGGGTTGCCAGGTTATGTATATCCTCTTCCACCATAATAGGGGCCTATACTTTTTGTCTTAAATTATGTCTTGAATTTATCAGGTCAATTCAACCACTTTCTTTCTGGCTGCAAACCTCCTTTGTGAATAAATTATTATCACTTTCAACTGAATAAATTCCCCTTTACAAGGTCATTTATGAGACTGTGGAGGTTAGTGGGAGCACAAGTGCAGAGGAAACAACAGCACAAAACACGCCCTGCAAATGTCAACCTCCTGTGTATACGTGTGTGGCAGTTTTTGGCCTTCTTGTTTTTGTGGTAGGCTTCAGTAGTTTCAGAAAGCTTCGTGTGGGTGACATATAGGTGAAAAGTGTGTGTGGGATGACATGAAAAAAAGAAACACTCACCAGCCTTAACAAGGAGGAAGAATTCAGTCCTTCCATATACGTGTAGGTCTTCAGAGACAAGGTTGGCCACAACAAACTCACAGTAGTAGCGGTCCGTGTCATCAGCCGTCAACTGAGAGATGGTCACATTCAGAGAGTGGCTGCTCGGGTCTCCACTGACAGTTATGCGATTTTTGTCATCATCGTTGGTCACAGTGAATTCGTACTGGGTGTACATGAACAGCACGTCAACTGGACGCAGCCAGCTGCGCTTCAGGTAGACAGCTATGGGTGAGGGGTTTCTCGGCTCAACTCCACAGGGAAGAACCACAGATTCCCCCTCACGCTTCTCCAAGAACTCAATCTCACTGCAAACTTGATAGAAACAAAAAGAAATGTTACATCCCTGTCTGATGGAAATAGTGATTATATACTTATTTTAAAGAAGTGCACAAGTTTCAAAGGACAAAAAAATAGTTATTGTGTCATCTTTATAATCTCATCATCTTTATAAATCTTTATAAATCCAGTAGTAGTAAGATTCAACTTCATGTTTGACTACATTTCAAATGCACTTTAAAGACATAAAAACACACACACACACACACACACACACACACACACACAAATTGGGAAATGTGCACCCACCCACAACCATATTTAGTAATCTTCCAACCAATCAGTCAATGTACATGAGATGGACAAAATAACAAGTAGAATCTACTATGCTACAACTACAAACCATGGCCTAATAAAATTATCAGTTAATTTAATCTGATAGCCCAATATCATCGTGGTGCAGAAGTGTTCATGTTATTTAAGTACAATTCACATTGAGTGTAGAAATCAGATGATAAGACCATCAGGCCAAACAACGAAACACAACTTACCAACCCCAGTTTGTGTGATTAACCACAAACAAACCAGGAACTGGATCGCAGTCATCTTTAACACCACCAGGAGACACTGATTAAGATCCTGAGGTCAGAAGTCAGTGATGTAAACCATGACAGCCCAGACAAAGCACTCAATGCTTGCCGTCAAATGTTTAGGTTAACTATAAATGAAACCAAGTGGAACTCCATGAAGCTCCACCTTCAAACCTCAAAACAAGAGCAAACAGGCGCAAACAAGAGGAAGCACACTCAACACTACGTATGATGGATCAGCTTCTTCTAAGGCCATGTAGTAATGAAGAATGCCACATTACATTAGAGATGAAACAGAAAGGATCAGGATCAGAGCATTAGCAGAACAGCAACAACTAATTTGTGCATGTAGGTCCTTGAAAATCCTTTTTTTGGTTACCTTTATTCACAGTCTTTTTTTAAATTTGCATTAATTGTTTTACATGCTTGAGAAAACTTTCCATACAGAAAATATTTTTGAATATTCCAGAGGAAATGATGCTGACTTCCAGTTTCTGAACAGGATGTATCTGCTTTTTGATGATTATTTGCATTAGTGGGCAGATAACTCCAAAAGAGGCCCACTGACTGAAGGGTCTGATGCAAACGACAGAGCTAGACAATTAACAAAAGACTTGACAGCAAAAACATTCAAGTCTCAAGTTTCGACTTGGTAAAATAATGAAATGAATCAAACACCACAGGGTGGGCCTGTGTAACCTCACCTCATGATTGGAAAACAAATAAGTGAAGTTGTGAAAGAAAAATGTTTTGCCATTTTAATGGTCAGAAATAAGAGACTTGAAGACTTGAAATGTGTTTGCTTTTTGTTGTGACTTCACTTGAACATAAGATTACTGGCAGTGTGATACAGGCTTTACAACTTTGTTTAAACACTGAACTTTGGTTTAGACATGAGAAAAAGTTATAAAAGAAAACAAATGACGCAGCAAAACTGACTGTGGGGGTAACAACACCATCTCAATGCAGAAGAAGAAACGGAAACAAGACAGTAAATAGCTGAAATTTAGGGTGCACATACAAGGAGGTGCAAAACTGAAGCCTAAAAAATGCACCTCCATTATTCATCTATAAATTAGATTCAGTTCTAAAAGTATAAGTAGTTTATCTCTGAAGCAGTTTGCTCTGTGGTTGAATTATCTTCAGTGTCAAAATCTCCAGCAGAGCTATGTGACATACAACTAGCTGATAGGATCTACTGCTGCATTGTCCCACTTGTCCAACAGGAAACCACAATTCAGTTTATATCTTGTGTCTTGTGACTGCTTATAGAATGCTACAGTTTAAGACGAGTGCTGCAGTATGAGAGGCTGCAGCTCTTATACCGTTTCTCTTAACTGCTGCTGAATGCATTCATAAAACTCTAACAATTCTTTGAAACAAATTGAGGTGTCATAACACATATGAAATTTAGTGGAGCAAGTCTGCCATCACTAACACTTCTAACCGCAAATTCAAGGTCACAAAATGTATGACTAATTCCTGGAAATGTATGCAAATAATTTACATGGTGAAGGAAGCAACAAAACTAATGCATGCAAATGCAATCATTAAGTCCTGAAATGTTTGTTTCCATTTAATTACATTTTATACTAACGCATCTAATGGCTATAGATCCTTATAATGTTTATATTTAATTTCAAAACATACATAAAATTTGTATTGTATTGCTAAATTGCCAATATTAATACCATCTTAACATTGAAATATTTCTATTCATAACCACAGAAAAAATATTTAAACTTGAGTGTCCAAACTTTTGACTGGTACTGCATATTTATTACGATTAGAAAATAACATTTTAAGTTAGTTACTACTATGAAATGTCATCTTATTTACAAACTTAAGTATATACTGTGAACAATAACAAATGTATCAGACTGATGTCTAATAGGGTTTCTTTCCATGTATTCCATAGGGTCAGTGGGCCTTATGTACACCTATTTAAGGGGCCTGTATTTTTCATCTTTTGCCACTAGGCGGTGCACTGGTTTCTGAATGTCCACATACACACTGAGCATGTTAATGTGCTGGAGCTTCCAAGAGGTGGATTTCACCAAGTTTTAAGCCAACAATGGAAGAAAAGACAAGCGGCAGAAAAATAATGAAATTATTTTATTAAAAAAAAAAAAAAAAAAAAAACTTGAATCTGACAGCAGCTACAAGCTACTTACAGTAACAGTAACAGGTCTGAAGTCCACATTTGTTTGAAGTGTAATACATTTAAACTTTATTCATACCCCTTTCTACTTGGTCAAAAATTTTAAAGGGTCACGTCACTCTACAAAGACATAAAAAATATCCTCTCTTCTAGTGGTAAACAGTTAATCTTTTGTTGATGTTGGGTCTTATTTGTACAAGTTTTGATATGTTTATTCCTCCATGTCAAATATTTATAGTACTCGCTATATGGAAAAGTTACATTAAAAATTTCAATTGCAACATAACTTTGCAGAGTATTACTCAGCGATGAAATACCCCTCTAAGAGGTCAGAAGTCAAAAAGGTTGGGAACCACTGTGCAAAATACCACTAGAGAAAAGCAATGATCTTATTTCTCATTAGGGTGAGATGACCCTTTAACATTAAGGCCCCCCAAATACACACAACCTTTGTATCCATTGCTGATTACTTACCATGTTAGTCCATTTCATAGCAGACAGTATAAGACCATACAAATCCAACATTTACATGTCATTGCCCAAATCTTTGTACCCTTTGGTAACTAAAATGAAATGAACATGTCACATAAGGCATACTCTTCCATCTCTTTAACATACCACCTACAGTATGTACAAGTCTTCAATTATCTTAATATGTAAATATATATTTTAAACAATACATTATGTAATACAAGGCCTAGCATCCAGTTGAACAGGACAGACCCACACTGTAATAAACATCAGGTACTTACTGGGTTTAACTGACCTGTCATGCCAGCTGAGTGGGTTTTAAGGCTGAAAAGCTGATATGGATGGGCTACAGACAACAAAAACAAATACAAAGCAGTAAGTGATATGGGCAGAGTAAAAACTTGTGCCACACACTAAATATCTACAAATACTCCTGCACCATGTTTTTTTTTTTTTTTTAAATTCCCATGTGCAATACAGACCAATTTGTGCACCTGCCATCTATCATTTCTCTACAACAGTCTCTAACACAGGATCACTGCAGATGCCATTGACCAATGATTAAACGAAAGTTAGAGCAGAAAAGATGTGACAAGAAAAACAAAACCACCCAGCAACACAAACTAGCACTGCACTAAATACCAATCTAACAAGACCGTCTTGAGATTGCATTGGTGTTGATCTACTGTCACACTTATGTTGCAATCTGAAGACTGGTGAGAGGGTGTTTCCTTGTGACTATTGTGGCTTTTTGCTTGTGTTTTTTCTTGTTGAGTCATTACACTTTAAAACACTTTTGTGGGGATGGATGCATACATACAGTAAAGCAATTTACACAAAGACAAATGATGAACCTGCATTGCTGACACATCAGTTGCGTACACTGCGATAACGAGAAAATCTAAAAACAAATAACTCTCCAACCTTGTCTGTCAAATTAAAGTAAAGCCTCAATGAACTTCACAATCCAAAACTGAGCTTTACAAAATTGGAATTTAACACAGAGCTATTGTATTGTTGGGTTTGATATTTTGTTTGCCCCCTCCCCGAAGTGCATGGGGACATGATTATGACATATGGCAAACACTAACATTAAAGCATTCATGCATGTTTGAGCACTGTATGCATGTACAGACAAAAATCAGGAATGAAGTCTAATTTCTCTTTTTACTGCAGTGCAAGTATCTACAAATATCATAATTTAATCTGCAGTTATTTCCATATCATGGGTAACATGCTGTATCTGTTACCAGAAGTTGGCCAACATCTTAGTTTTGGGCAGGTGGTACACAAGATCTTAGCAAACTTCACTCTTTCAGAAATGATATATGGTAATTTCTTAATTACTTTAAAATCCAGTCTTGGTGAAGGTGAACTTCACAAAAAGAGATGATGGCAAACTTGGTGTTTAAATAACGGATTCCCTTGAATATCTGATGAAATCCTGTAACTTAGAGCCATAAGAAGCCTAGAAATACAACACCAGTACAAACCTTCATGACTCACCTCCACGTACGTCAGGACAAACCAGCATTGGATTTCAAGATGGATTTTATTACAACAGATTCATAAAACATTACAAAGGATGCATACAGGTACCCTTTTAACCAGGAAATATTAAAAACAAACCTGAAATAAGAATAAAGCTAGAGACTGATGAGTCATGGATTTGTAACCCTACTCAGTTGGAATCATCTTCATTGCTGAGACCCTCACCAACCAAGGTTGGGGACGCAAGTCCAACAGCACCTAAGCGTGCTGTGAGGGCCTCAATCACTCTACCAAAGAAATAAACAATAAACAAAATGAATCAAATGTTTACAAGAGAAACTTGCCTTTGTAAGGGGGTTGGTACGTTCATGTAACTCCAGCAGCTTCAAAAGAAATATGAATCATTTTACCACACTTCACTTCTATAAACCTGAGTGAAACCTATGGGAAAAAAATATATATCCTCACATGTAGGCAAATAGCCACAAAATAACTGCCAGGAACTTATGTGGTGTTTGGCTGTTTTCCAATATAGATGTTACATTAAATGTCCATGTGTTCTTAACAAATAATGTTTGTCTTCACCACCACTGGTTTTACTGCTCTTTGCTTGCAGCTAGGTTTGAAAAAGCACAAGGATGAGAGAAAGGTGTTAACCTCAAACCTAATGTGGTGGCTGCTTTGCTGCTTCAGTAGCGTCCAGCCGGAGACATGACAGGCGGCCTCATGCCCATGGGAGGGCCTCCCTGGTAAGGGGGCACCATAGGAGGACCCTGCCCATATGGAGGCATCCCTCCTGGCATGTAGCCTGGCATACCCTGAGGAGGAGCACCATACTGACCTGCAGAGGGAACACAGGGATACCAGAGTGTAAAAATGTTGCAGTTTTTACAGATTCAACAGATGATGTCAGTCAAAGTGTAGCTCATTTAAGTTGATTCTAATATGTGCTGCCATCCCTCGCCTAAATTAAACAGCATTTTCATTGGGTGAGAATGTGTCTGACACGGACGTTGTCCTACCTAATGCCATTTTCTCATATGAACGCCGTACATTGAGAAGATCAATACTATTTTCATGCATATGGTTAGATTGGTTTAGCATAAAAAGTAGAAGCAGGGGGAAACCTCTACTCCAGCAGTCTGAATGTAACTAAATGTGCCACAATCAGTGAGC